AGTGAACCCTAATGGAAGCTACGGACTTTGGGTGACAATGATGTGTCAATGCAGGTTTATGAATGACAATGAATGACCACTCTGTGGAGGGATGTTGATACTGGGGGAGGTTATGCATGTGTGGAAGCAGAGTATATGGGATATCTCTGTACCTGCCACTCAATTTTTGCTGTGAATCTAAAATTGCTGTAAAAATAAAGTTTATTAAATAAAAATGGGCAGAAGATGTAAAGGGACAGCTCACCAAAGAAGACAGACAGATGGTAAGGAAGCACTTGCAAACACATTCATCATCATATGTCATCAGGGAATTTCCTATTAAAACAAGAATGCGATGCCACTGTCCATCTAATAGAATTGTGAAAATCTCAAAAAAAAATCTCTGTATTGTGTAAAAATTTGAAGTGCCTGCCATGTCTCTCAGTTGTCCCGATAAGGAGTCCAAACTGCCACTCCCATGAGGCCTCTGAGGCAGGCAAGACAGAAAAGAGACCCTCAGACTCCTTCACACCTCGGAAATCTAAAAAGTAGGATGCGTGGGCCATTCTTATCTTTCTCTCTTGAGGGAGAGCTGGGAGTTAGGAATTTCCTCTTGATCCCAACACACTGGGTCAGGGAGGAGAAGCAGCCATGGCAGGCAAAACGCCATCCATTTGCCTAAAAGCTTTACTGTATCTCTCTTCTCGGCTTTGTGCTAGTTCGGGATGCTGCAACCTCTTACCTGCCTTCTGGCGCTCTCACAAAGACAATTTCATCTATGTACGTCATCTCCATGGAGCAGGGGGCTTGGCAACTCCTGTTCTGCCATCTTGCTGGTGTTACTCTTGGATAATTTTCATCCTTAAGTCATGTGTTTCTCGTAGGGGAATTTTCTTCAGTATTAGGGGGAAAATCCACTAACCATAATTCTACCCTCCTTCATGTTGTCCTCTGTTTCTGGAATACTCTGTGGAAGGCAGCCTTCACTTGAGCATTCCTTAGACTGTAGACAAGGGGGTTCAGCAGTGGGTTTAAGAAAGTGTAAAAGAGGAAAAGGACTTTCTGTTGCTCCTCTTGTTGACTACTCTCTGGGACCAAGTAAACCATCATGGCTATGCCAAAGTAGAACCCCACCACACAGAGGTGGGAAGAGCAGGTGGAAAAGGCTTTCTTGCGGCCCTCCTTGGACTGGATTTTCAGGATGGCCCAGAGGATGTGCACATAGGACACCAGCATCAGGGAAAGGGGCCCAACTAAGATAAAAACACCATCAGCAAAGAGGAAGATGTCATTGATCCAGGTTTCACCACAGGTCACTTTGAGGACAGATCGAATTTCACAGAAGAAGTGGTTCACCTTCTGGGGCCCACAGAAGGGCAATCTTAGAAAGAGACTTACTTGTACTAGGGCCAGGGAAAATCCACATGCCCAGGATGCGATGGCCAGGACCGTGCACACTCTCCAGTTCATGATGACAGTGTACTTGAGGGGGTGGCAGATCGCCACGTACCTGTCATAGGACATCACCACCAAAATCAGACATTCTACAGAAGCAAAAGCCAAATAGAAAACCATCTGCATAGAGCATGAGAAAAAGGAGATTGTTTTTTTGTGTTTCACTAGGTTTTCCATCATATTGGGTAAATTACTAGAAGCATAGGATATGTCGGTGATGGCCAGATGAGAAAGGAAGTAGTACATGGGGGAATGCAGTCTGGGGTCCAGGCAAATGAGTCTGAAGATCATGCCATTTGCCAGCAGGTTGAAGGTATATAACAGGAGGAAGATAATGAAGAGGAGCAATTCCATCTCTTCACTGAGCTGGAATCCCACCAGGATGAATTCTGCGATCCATGATTGGTTGCCCTCCATTCCTAATGACAGTGGGTACTGAACTGAAGTGTGATGGAAAGGTCAGAGCTGGATATGAATGAAAAGTGGAGTTATTAATCTGAAGTGAATTCAGAGCAAGTTTATGGGACTGTCCCTACTTCACTGAGATATTTCCTCCAATGCGTCTTTGCCTTTTTGTTTTTATACTTTTTCCTAAGGAGTAATCAAATTTTCAGGTAAGTATCAGGAATTATAAATAATCATAGTATATACATTTTACTAATTTTTTCATGTTTGCAAACAATCTTGCATATATACATTTATTTTGTATATATATATGGTTCACTTCCTATGGACTACAGAAGACTTAAGGGCAACCATAAAGCCAACTTATCCCTAAACTGTTTATTTACTCCAAGAACAAGGATATTCACTAATTTATCTTCAATGTAATTACCAAAATCAGGAGCTATAACATTAACATAATTCACTATTGTAAGTACAGCATTTTCAGCCCCTCTGGTCTAAGAATCAAATCCAGTATCACATATATTTTATCTCCTCTATCTTAAAGTTACTTCAACTTTCTTGCCTTAGCAGTGATATTTTTGAAGAGTATGAGCTCCTGTTTTGTGTCATGTCTCTCAACTGGAGTTTTTCATTGACTGTCATGTTTTAGTTCAGATAGTAAATTTTTGGTTGGAAAAAAGTATGTCCTACCTAACCCTAATGCCTTTCATGAATATATAGATAATGTTTATTAATCTCAGTATTGGTGATACTAATGTGGGTTATGTTGTTAAGGTGGTGTGTCCAAGTTATTCCCATTATAAAGTTATTAATCCATAATTTTAAGTACTTTCTTCTTTATGGCTTAAAAAATTATCCTATACTCATCTTGAAGATTTCCCACTTGAGCTTAGAATCAATTATTTCACTAAAAATATCTGGTTCCTATTGAAGAATAATCTTTTCAAAGCAATATCTAGATTTATTAGGTGTCAAAAATATTTTTATCATTATTGTTGCCAAATTTCTACTGTCCTCTACTATCCTTGTTTAACAGAGGATATAAATTGGGACAGTAAGTATGCTGTTAAGGCAATAATGGAGTCAATTTTGCTTGCCTAATCTTAATATACCTTACTGACTTCTTTTAGTGAACCAAATCTATTTTGCTAAATTAACATCACTGTTAAAAAATTATCTCAATTTTATATGGTAGATTATTTTTAGACAAAATTATATGTAGAATCTCAAATTATCTTTTTTTTGGTTTGTTTTTCTTTGTATTAGGTAATTAGAGTATCTTAGACGTTTTAGACTTACAAACTAAAGTTTCAGTAATCTGGCTCATTGTGTGAATAAAGTGGCACCTATTTCATATGAGATTTTGACATCAAGAGTTCATAAGTCTTAGAAAAACATGACATTCAATAAAGGCTAAAGAGGAAATACTTACCTGAAACATATGGCGAACAGTGACCATTGCTAATTATTTTTATAGAGTTTTGTATTATTCACTGTATACATTTTCATAATATAAGTTATATTGACAGTATTATTTATTTCATTTAGAATCATTATATACATTTTTCATGTCAAAATATTTCTATGCAACATACTTTAAACATTTGCAACTATTTTATTACATACAGATATTTTAATTTATTTAATACATTCCCTTCTAACTAGACTGTATGTAATATGCCATGTATTAAGTTCTACACTTTTTTTATCTTTTATTATTTTCTTATAACATATCCTAGACACGGAAGTCCTCAGTCAAATCTATCATCTTTCT